CATGACTTGGATCTGCGACGATGAGCGTTACAAGCTAAAGAATATGTCAATCTTACTTTATTTAAAGCAGGATCAACGCGGATATTAAATTAAAAAAAAAATATGGAATTGTATCAAGAAAGATTACAAAATTTATAAACCGCTCAACAATGAAAGACAAAGAATAATTACAAATTAAATGCCAGGAATTTATAAGCACTGTAAAATCTTACATAAGTTTTTTTGGAATAGAGAACATATATAGTGCAGATGAAAGTGAATTCAATTTAGAAATACATTTAGGCAGAACACTTATCATACAAGATGTTAAAACAGTTGAAACATTGGTTCAATCACAGTCAGCAATAACGCTCAGTTATACCATAATGACAATAATTTCTGCAGATGGAATATTGCATTCACTTCCTTATTTGGTATTCAAGGAAGTCAGTGGATATTTTGGACCACGTATAGAAGAAACCTTATTTAGACCTTCAAATGTTTATATTGCAACATCGAAATCGGGTAAATTAACCCTCATGATACACATTATAAGAAAGTTACGGGAAGTAAACACTGGGTTAGCATAACCCGGGCAACTTTGAAAACCTATTTCTCGAGATCTAATTGTTCAAATTTAATGCTTTTTTTTAATCGATAGAAAATTATCTTAGAAATAATATAAAATAAGTTTCATGACGATATAGTTAACACGCTCAGAGATATTTATAAGTAAAAGAAAACTTAATATTTTTTCTTATAAATCGTTTTCTTTAAATGGTCATAATTTTATGAAAAATATATGTTTAGGGTTCCATGAGGAGTCATTGAAAAGCAATAAAGTCAACCAATGAAATCCGCATTCTACAATATATTCACTTGTACACTCGTGATCTGAAAGGTTTATGCACCGATTTTTGGTTAATTTCGGAACGCTTCCCAACTTCAGGAGAGAGACAATCACTGCTTGACACGTCAGTGACGCCACTTATTACAAGAGCAGAAGGACGGCATATACGTGGTGTCAAAAAATAGTGATTTGACGTATAATTGAAAGAAACAAATAGTTATTGTGATTGTGACTGTGATTGTGAAACAGTGTATTAAAGAAAAGCATTAATCTTCTAATAATATTTGAAGTGAAAAATATTTCTAAATTTGAATGTGAGTTGAAAAAGTTATAAACTATAATTTCTTTAATGTTAATAATTGTGGAATTAGAAATTTGTCATCAACATTAAATGAATATGTAAATAATGTTATTATTTATGTAGGTGAGGAATTATGTTATTGCGCTCAGCAAAAATAAGCAGCAGACCAAGTGATATGAATATCTTGTCAAAAAAATATAGCAACGGCAAATTTATAACTCTAAAATTATTAACATTAAAGAAATTATAACTTTTTTAACTTACATTCAAGTTGAAAATATAAAAATAAATTCTAGTGTCTCTATGTTCCGCTCAGCAAAAATAACCAGTAGACCAAGTCGAATGATATGAATATCTTGTTAAAATAATCACTCGACTTGGTCTGCTGCTTGTTTTTGTTGAGCGCAATAGAACGCATAGAGATGTATGTATTGTACTATGCAAAAATAAGCAGCAGACCAAGTCGAGTGATTATTTTAACAAAATATTCATATCACTTGACTTGGTCTGCTGCTTATTTTTTTGCTAAGCGTAATAATTCCCCACCTACACAAATAATAGCATTATTTATATACTAGGTGCGCAACTAAGTTTCCGGATTTCACACATGGATGGCGCTAACGACACATGTAGTCGACATACATGTCAAAGTTGTGTTTCTTTTATAGCTTGGACATCTGTCAACAATAACCAGTCATAATACCAACACATATCGCAACGCAAAAATATTTTTTTTAACAATTTCTGCTTTAACTTGAAAAAAATGCAGCTGAAGCACGTCGTTTGCTTGAGGAGGCCTACGGCGAACATGCACCATCGAACACTACCTGTGAAGATTGGTTTAAACGCTTTAGAAGTGGCGATTTCGACACTAAGGACAAGGAGCGCTCCGGAAGACCAAAAACAATTGAGGACGCCGATCTGCAAACGTTATTGGATGAAGATGATACGCAAACACAAGATCAACTTGCATTAAACATGACTCGCCAAGGTATTTCCAAACGTTTACATGCCATGGCAAAAATTCAAAAGGAAGGAAAATGGGTGCCGCATGAGTTGACTGAGAGACAGATGGAAAATCGAAGAGCCACTTCCGAAATTTTGCTTTTTCGGCATGAAAGAAAGAATTTCCTGTATCGAATTGTTACTGACGATGAGAAGTGGATATATTTCGAGAATCCCAAACGCAAAAAATCGTGGCTTTCATTTGGCGAAGCATCAACATCGATGGCACGGCCAAATCGCTTCGGAAAGAAGACAATGCTCTGCGTTTGGTGGGACCAGAAAGGAATCGTGTATTATGAGCTGCTGAAACTGGGTGAAACTGTCAATGGGCATCGCTACCGACAACAACTGATCAATTTAAACCATGCATAGCTCGAGAAACGGCCAGAATGGGACACGAGACACGAACGAGTGATATTGCATCACGACAACGCTCCGCGCCATCGCACTTCCATCGTCCAGGACACCATTAAAACGCTGAAATGGGATCTGCTACCGCACCCGCCGTATTCACCAGACCTGGCCCCTTCCGATTATCACTTGTTCCGGTCGATGGCGCATGGCTTGGCTGGGCTACACTTGGCCAATTTCGAAGAAGTACAAAATTGGTTGGATGAATGGTTTCGGTCCAAAGACGCGTCGTTTTATCGTCGCGGTATTCATGTATTGCCAGAGAGATGGCAAAAATGTGTAGCTAGCGAGGGACGATACTTTGAATAAACCATTTTTTGTATTTCTCTTGAAATTTTCCATTTTTCATTGATCAAAAAAACCCGGAAACTTAGTTGCGCACCTAGTACTTATTTAATGTTGATGACAAATTTCTAATTCCACAATTATTAACATTAAAGGAATTATAGTTTATAACTTTTGTAACTAAAATTCAAATTTAAAAATATTTTTCACTTAAAATATTATTAGAAGATTAATGCTTTTCTTTAATACACTGTTTCACAATCACAGTCACAATCACAATCACAATAACTATTTGTTTCTTTCAATTATACGTCAAATCACTACTTTTTGACATCACGTAACACATCGGTCAATAAGTCCCCGGTCTAGCAAAGAAAACACAAGAGTTACATCAAAATTCGAATTTATTCATCAATATAGTTTCCTTCTAAGGCAATACAATCAGTCCAACGCCTTTCCAAACGTTCGATGCCGGTTTTGTAGAACGATTTTGGCTGACCCTCAAAATACGCATCAGTTTCGGCGATGACCTCCTCATCCGATCGAAATTTTTTCCCGGCGAGCATTTTTTTGAGCTCAGCGAATAGGAAATAGTCGCTGGGGGCCAAATCTGGCGAATACGGTGGGTGCGGGAGCAGCTCGAAGCCCAACTCGTTCAATTTAACCATCGTTGCCATCGACTTGTGACACGGTGCATTGTCCTGGTGAAAAATGGGTTTTTTCTTCTTCATTTGAGGTCGTTTTGCGACGATTTCGGCCTTCAAACGCGTCAGTAGTGCCATGTAATATTCGCTATTGATGCGCCCACCCTTTTCGAGGTAGTCAACGAAAAGAATACCATGGGCATCCCAAAATACAGATGCCATAACCTTGCCGGCCGACGTTTGAGTTTTTGGTCGCTTTGGGCGGCTTTCACCGGCTGCAGTCCACTCAGCTGACTGCCGATTCGACTCGGGTGTGAAGTGGTGAATCCATGTTTCATCCATGGTCACATACCGACGCAAAAAATCTTTCCGATCCTTCTGAAACATGGCCAAACAGCTCTCGGAATCATCGACGCGTTGTTGTTTTTGGTCCACAGTGAGCAAACGCGGCACCCACTTCGAACATAGCTTCCGCATCGACAAATGGTCGTGTAAAATGGTGAAAACACTTCCCTTGGATATCTTTACGATGTCAGCAATATCATCCAGCTTCAACTTACGGTCGGACAAAACCAATTTATGGACCTGCTTGATTTTTTCGGGAACAACTGCCTCATTTGGGCGACCAGAGCGGTGTGCATCGTCGGTGTCCGTACGGCCGCGTTTAAAATCAGCATACCAGTCGATGATTGTTGATTTGCCTGGGGCAGAGGTGCCATAATGTTTGTCCAACCACTGTTTTGCTTCAACGGTATTTTTTCCCATCAAAAAGCAGTGTTTAATGAGCACACGAAATTCTTTTTTTTCCATTGTTCTGAAAATAACAAAAGTAGCGTCACTAAAGCTTCACTAACTCACACAATAATGATCCTAATGACATAAACATTTCACAGTATGCCTAAAAGGGTCTGTTCTTTCGAACCAAGCTGCACTTTTTGTGTTAGAGGCGCTCTCTATATGTCAGACCGGGGACTTATTGACCGATGTGTTATATATCATTCTTCTGCTCTCGTAATAAGTGGCGGCGATGGCGTATTAAGCAGTGGTTGTCTCTCTCCTGAAGTTGGGACGCGTTCTGAAATCAACCAAAAATCGGTGCACAAACTTTTCAGATCACGAGTGTACATATAATACATAGATTTCTTAACCATTATCTCTGCTGTGACCATGCGAACTAGTAGTCTAATGTAATATAGAAGTCTGTGTTTCACTCTATCCTCAACTTCTTACCGTTTTCAAATTACGTATCATCTTCGAACGGTATAGGTTACGTTAACTCAACGTGGATACTGAGTGGAGGGTTAATAATACGTACTGATATTGATGTTTATACGATTTATACGCATATAATATTATGATATTTTTATATATAAGAAAAAAATATATGGTATTAGTAGCTTTATCAAATATTATTATATAATATTATGCTATTTTTATACATAAGAAAAAAATATATGATATTAGTAGCTCTATCAAATATTTGGCATATAAAGAAATTTAATAATGTTTTCCATCCACGTTACAGTTACAGTTGTCAGGAGAAGAGTTACACTCTGTAAGTGAGAGGGATAGTACTGGAGCTGCGGGAAGCGGTGGTAGTGATGCGGCTTCTCCTTTAACAGCTAGATCTTTGAGATTGGAACGAGTCGTTCAAGCGTTGGCGCACAGTCAGGAGGAACTCAGAAGGTACATTTTCCATTATTTTAACTATCAATTATCGATTAACTTCCCTGTTATTCCGCCAAATACAGGCACTCCTTTTATATTATTTGTATATAATACAAATGTAAATTACAATAAAAATGACAATTGCATTTTTAAAATCCATAATATTTAATAATAATATTTTATAATAAATACTTTACAAATAAAATTTTACACACGGTACGCGATTAATATAAAACAATGATTTTTACGTAATGTGGGGAGATCTTAGTGAATATATGTAATCTCTATTGCATGTAAACCGCATTATACGTCGTTGTGCACGACATACTTGAATGGCTCTTGTGGGCATGAAACGAATTTCTTTGTGATTAGTCTAGCTTACGTTAACGGCAACACATTTGCTTATCATTTAAACAATACTGCTTATTTAAAAGTTTCAACATCTTGTTCGTTGATAAAAATACAATGTGCAATGTGAATCTGTTTGACATGTCCGCAGTTCTAACTCTCGAACACAGTGGCATAGACGTAATTCTTGATAAATTTATTAGATACAAAATATAAAGAAAAAAAATATCGGGAATTCCTTTTTCTTTATGTCGCATATTTAAATCCGTTCAATTTGCAACAAACATAGCGGTCTTAGATGAATGAAGACACTTATAGAACCTAATGTAATTTCTGTAGCAATTTTATTATATTATGTCCGTGCGTGCGTGTGTACGTGCGTATTGGGAGGAGAATAGAACAGAATGAAAGAGTTGAAAAGAAAAAGGAAGAGGGCAGAGATAGTGAGATTAGGAGGTAGAGGAGTGGGGAAAAGAGAAGGGAGAGAGAAACAGGGAGAGGATGGAAAGGGTGGAGAGAGGGAGGGAAGAAGCAAGAAAGAGTGACGGGGAAGAGGGCAGAGTTGGAGAGGAGAGAGGAAAATGAAGAGTTATAGAAGAGTGGCGCAAGTTGAGAGGATAGCAGTGTGGCAAAATGACAAAATGAAAAAGGGTCAAAGGAGGGGTGAGAGAATGACAGAGAGAGGTGAAATTAACCAGATTAGTACCATTGTTTTTTAAGTTGTTTCTACTTTTCATTGTTTGTGCTATCAGACGTACAGGACAGAGTGGATTTCCAAGCAGTGGTTTCTCCACGCACAGGTTAATTAAAGATATTAATATTGCATGTAAGCTGCATTATACGCTGCTGTGCACGACACACTTGAATGGCTCTGAAATGAATTACTTTGTAGTCAGTCTCGCTTACATTAACAGCAACACATTTACTCATCATTTAAACAATACTGTTATTACTATTGTTACTGTTATTACTATTATGTTATTACTAACAATACTGTTATACTATTATTTAAAAGTTTCAACATCTTGTTTGTTGATAGAAATACAATGTGCAAAATGGATCTGTTTGATATGCCCGCAGCTCCAATTCTCGAGCACAGTAGCATAGACGTAATTCTTGATAAATTTATTAGATACAAAATACGAAAGAAAAGAAATATCGAGAGCTTTTTTCTTGTCGCAAAATTCAATACGTTCAATTTACAACAAACGTAACGATCTTAGACGAATGAAGAAACTTATGGACCCTAAAGTATTGAATCCGGTGTGCAAATGCGCCAATCTCATAGAAGATAGCCTACATATTCCTGTTGGAACGCTGATGTCAAATTAATGCCACAAGAGGGACATACAGAGTAAAATATTACACATAGAGTATATTTTCTTGTTTAATTGTCTGATCAGTGGACAGAATAAAAAAGTAAAAACAATCGCGCGGCTAATCCATTTTATTTTTCTGTCACTGTGTTTCACTATATCACTTGTCTTTTTCTACATCACTCTTTCCTAGAGCACTGTATGACAGAAAATATATTTTATTTAGCGTATATTTCTGTCCTTCAGTGTCGTCAGCTGTCCTAGAAGAGCATTCTATGTCTTCAAATCCTACTACACAAGATTTGTACTATGCAAACGGGTTAGATTGTATATGTTCAAAGACACCTTACTGATAATCTTAAATTTCATGTTCAACATACAGATCAGTACGACGGGTTGCCTGCCCGTTAGGCGCGCGTGGCCGGTAATGCAGGGCCGATAATGCAGGGCTTGCCAATATAATTATATGTCTACTATATCCAATGAAATGTGCAATATTTCTAATTATTATGATCGTAACGGATATACAGGGTGAGGAAAAAGTATAGAAACCCTGAAAAATCTAAAAAAATATAAATTTTACAGAAAAATGTTTCAAATAAAAGTTGTAGGATTTAAAAAGTTTTATTCAATAATCTCATTAGTTTGACCCTGACTAGCGTCGTTAAGGTGAAGTCAAAGTCACCTTGAATTTTTTAAATGGAACACCCCATATATTATTATATATTCTTATAGCTTACCTCGAGAGCTTTCCAAAACACTATAATAAAATATTTTTTCGTTAAGAACTTTTTGAGTAATAACACTTGAAATTTCCAGCAGTTTGACATAGAATATAAAATATCTTGTAAAATATTTATCTTTCGATTATCTTGGCTTAATGCTTTTTTGCACAGAATAATGAGACAAATAAATTGGCGTACAAAAATTTTTTACATAATAAATATAAAAAAATTTTTATGCTTTTTTATAGGTCTACTGAATAAACCTTTTTAAATCCTACAACTTTTATTTGAAACATTTTTCTGTTAAAACTTACATTTTTCTGTTAAAACTTACATTTTTGAGATTTTTCAGAGTTTCCATACTTTTTCCTCACCCTGCACACACACACACACACACACACACACACACACACACACACACGCACACACACACACACACACACACACACACGCACACACACACACACACACACACACACACGCACACACACACACACACACACACACACACGCACACACACACACACACACACACACACACGCACACACACACACACACACACACACACACGCACACACACACACACACACACACACACACGCACACACACACACACACACACACACACACGCACACACACACACACACACACACACACACGCACACACACACACACACACACACACACACGCACACACACACACACACACACACACACACGCACACACACACACACACACACACACACACGCACACACACACACACACACACACACACACGCACACACACACACACACACACACACACACGCACACACACACACACACACACACACACACGCACACACACACACACACACACACACACACGCACACACACACACACACACACACACACACGCACACACACACACACACACACACACACACGCACACACACACACACACACACACACACACGCACACACACACACACACACACACACACACGCACACACACACACACACACACACACACACGCACACACACACACACACACACACACACACGCACACACACACACACACACACACACACACGCACACACACACACACACACACACACACACGCACACACACACACACACACACACACACACGCACACACACACACACACACACACACACACGCACACACACACACACACACACACACACACGCACACACACACACACACACACACACACACGCACACACACACACACACACACACACACACGCACACACACACACACACACACACACACACGCACACACACACACACACACACACACACACGCACACACACACACACACACACACACACACGCACACACACACACACACACACACACACACGCACACACACACACACACACACACACACACGCACACACACACACACACACACACACACACGCACACACACACACACACACACACACACACGCACACACACACACACACACACACACACACGCACACACACACACACACACACACACACACGCACACACACACACACACACACACACACACGCACACACACACACACACACACACACACACCCACCCAAGTAGAACAGATAAAAGTGAACAAAAATTGTATAGACCATTTTTCAAACAACCACGTAACATTTCGAGATATTAATTAAAATAGTGTTGGGCATGTCGGACGACACGGCGCTGCGACGCGGCGGGCGGGACATTCGGCACGCCGCGGCCGGTGATGAAAATAGACGATTGCTCGCGGGCCTATTTTATAGGCCAGAGAGGTGGGCCGTTTGGAATACGGAAATGGGTAGCTCCGTGTGTGCGTCCGTGTACGTGTGCGATCGTCCATTTTCTTTGCCGGCCGCGGCGGCCGTATGTCCCGCCTACAGCGTCGCGCATTCTGATTTCTCCATCTATTTTATTTAATAACTCGAAATTTTACGTGGTTGCTTGAAAAATGATCTATACAATTTTTGTTCACTTTTATGTGTCCTATTTATATTTTTCTTTTCATACATCTTACGCGGGACACCCTGTATGTATATATATACAGGGTGTCCCGAAGTCCCATGATGATCTTTGGTGAGAACGTAAAACGGATTGAAGTGAGCAAGAAAGTCCTGTGCCGTTTTGCGATATTCGCAATAGTTTTTGAGAAATCAATTATTTTGTCTCAACAAATTAGCGTGCAGAAAGCGGCAGCGGAAAGAAAGATGTCTTCGGCCGACGTGCGACTGTGACACTCGCGAATCGTATCTCGCCGCATCCCTCCGCCCATAGCTACGAGACATAGACTCGCTATGTCTCGTAGCTATGGGCGGAGGGATGCGGCGAGATACGATTCGCGAGTGTCACAGTCGCACGTCGGCCGAAGACGTCTTTCTTTCCGCTGCCGCTTTCTGTACGCTAATTTGTTGAGACAAAATAATTGATTTCTCAAAAACTATTGCGAATATCGCAAAACGGCACAGGACTTTCTTGCTCACTTCAATCCGTTTTACGTTCTCACCAAAGGTCATCATGGGACTTCGGGACAACCTGTATATATATATATATATATAGTGTCCAAAAAGTTCTGGGACAGCTAAATAAATCTTCAAGAAAGCGTTATCGGGAAAAACGTTAAATACAAAAGTTTTAGGATCGATAACAAGGAATTCGATGATAAGCTTGATCTAAAGGTTAAGTTTAGAGGTCACTTCAAAATTAAATTTGAAAATCTTAAATGGAAACGCTCAATTTTTTAGTTCGGAATTGGAAAAAACGGGAAATTTTATGTCCGGATATGTATTTAGTCATTAAAGTGATCTTTGAGGATCATTTGATGATAACTTGAACCATCGATTTTCGAATTGACCGTTAATGAAGAAGTTCATCCCATAAAATACATTTGTACACGACGAATTTGTATGACATTAATGTGAACGTAATGTCTGGTCAAAATTGAGTCAAGCTCATTCCTAGGAGTCATTCAGGAACTAAATAAATTTTTCTATCTAAAATCATGTCAAAAGACTAATTAGAAAAATTACATTATTTTCGAAGTATTCTCGAAGTATTTTTCATTATGCTCCATACATCAAATTTTTCATCACAACTGTTTCGTAATGTGTAAAATTACTGTTCTCTGAACCTGGAAATTTCCGATTGTTTAGATTTCTTTTTGATTGTTGAACAAGAATTGTTAATGAGATCTTTTCATCCATTTAATGATTAATTAGCTGTTGATTATTCATTGATGATATTTTCAATTACCAGTCTACTCTAATGCTTTGGTAATGCTTTGTCTTGTCTTAATTAGCTGGACAGTCATTACAGTCTTGCCTTCACTGGCTGAATAATGCTTTGTTTTGCCTTAATTGACTGGACAGTCATACAGTCTCGACTTAATTGTTTGGACAATGTACTTGTCTTGAATGACCTCTAAACTTGACCTTCGGTCAAGGTCACCATCAAGTATCTTGCTTTAATCACTGAAACATTTTTCTGAAAACGCTTTTCTGAAGTTATTCAACCGTTGAAAGTGTGATCTTCAAATGACCCTCAGAGATCACTTAGACTAAATACATATTCGAACGTAAAATTTCCCGTTTTTTCTATTTACGAGATAAAAATGGGAGTTTTCATTTAAGATTTTCAAGTTTACCTCGAAATAATTTCTAAACTTTAGGTCAAAATCAAGGTCATCATCAAATTCTTTGTTTTCAAATTCTTGTTTTTCAAATGGTTTGTTTTCCTAAAAC